TAGAGGAAGACCTAAAAATATTTTAATAAAAACTATAAATAAAGATTTAAGTACTCTGAACTTAAATAAACATGTGATTTTTTACAAATATCAATGATGACAAATGATCCATGTAGCCGATCACAAATAGTTGAGACTTATAGCTTTATTGTTGTTATTATGTATATGTAAAACATGAATTAACTATTTTTCTAAAATATATGTTCTATTCATTTCATGCAATTTTTTTATCTTTTATATTTCAATTCCATATTTCTTTTGGAAAGTTAATATCTTAAATTATATTCATGACCAATATAGATTCTACTAATATAATCCATTTGATCCCAATCATTATATTAAAGCAAGAAAACCATCCACATCTTCTACTCATGGTCATTTAAGTTAAATGAGAGTCAAGTTCGTAAAAGATAAATGTCACTGAAATGACTTTTCATGCCCAAAATGTGCCTTTAAAAAAACAAAAATTGTGTACCTTCCAATTTCTCCAATATTTTTATGGGCTTTCTCCATTTTGACAAAGTTTTGCATAAATAAATCATGAGAAAGAAAAAACTTTTCACTTAAAACAAGAAAATTATAAAGAAAAAATACAAATAAAACAATAATAAGTCAGTTCTAAACTCTTTGGTTAGCCTACACTAATCCCCTTTTGATACATTGAGACATCAAACATGTTTTGTATTAACTGTTTCTAATATATTTGGTCTTCATCAACTACTCCTTGTATCACTAATCTGAATTGATTCATTACACTCAGCAAATGCTTTTACAGCTACCCGTTGAATACGTACACTATGCGGTTTTCCGTTGTTTGACACTCAAACTTACACTATCCGTAATTTTTCATATATGCGAACGCTACTTAGTCAACAGTTTCTGATAATCCTGTGCATCAATCTTCATCTCAAGCATCAAAAAAGTGATCTAAAGCATTGAATTAAGTCATATGAACACAAACAAGAAACATTAGTGAAAAGGTGAAGATGATAAAAATATTAAGAACATGCAAACTAATCAAGTAGAGCATATTGTGCTTACCTGTATTCTTCATGAGGGCTGCAATGTATGTAGTTTTACCACCTGGAGCAGCACTGAAGAACAAAAGGTGCTATTAGGAAAAAGAGTATTGAAAAACAAAGAGAACCAAACATTCAACATCAACAGAGAAAGTAATGGCATCCAATATTTTGTCACTGACACAAGGCATTGGATCACTTGCATGTCGCAATTCAATCAACATAGCTCAACAAAGTATCAAAGAATTATCTGATAACGTGAAAGCACTTGCATTTCAAACTTACAACTTATAAGGTACAAAAATTTTCAGCATAAGATATTAGACAAACAAACAGAGCTGAATATTCAAGATCAACAAAGAAAGCAACGGCATCCAATATCGTGTCACTAACACAAGGCATTAGATCACTTGCACGTTGCAACTCAAACAGCATAGTTCACAAAGGTTTCAAAGAATTATCTGATAATGCGAAAGCACTTGCACTTCAAACTTGACATTTATAATGTCCAAAATATTTCAGCATAAGATAGACTCTTCCTGATTTTCTTCTAGATGACATCATGTACTCCCATGCCTTAAGAAGTATTCACAACCATATATAATAGTTTCTACTTTATAATAGCACTACTCAGACCGTGAAGGTATATGTCCAGCATCCAGACAGAGTCCATCTTAGTAAAAAATTTGTTTTTCTTAGGTATTTCCAACTTAGTTTTAATAGAACAAATTGGAAAAGTTTCGATGAAACACTACTGCTGCTAGTTAAGTCAAGAACTTTTTTTTTATAACAGAATAAATCAGCATTCAATTCCAGCTAACCAAATTTTATCACAACAAAATATCCAAGTCCTTCAAACATTTTTTGAGGAGTACTAGTAGATAGGGAGGAAGCAGGCCTCCTCCTTCATCTACTTGTCTTTTCTTTTTCTTTTCTCCCTTATCTTTCTCTCTTCTTATGTTTCTCCCTATTATTATTAATCGACCACAACCACTTCTTTGCATTTAGTATTAATCACATTTAGCATATTAAGTGGTCAAACTGTAGACATCATATGATAAGTAAATTGTCTAGGCATCACTCAGTAATTCAAATTTTTATTTAGCTTAATATCTGGTGCATCTATGCAGCTGATAATTTGAACAATTCATCAACTGAAATGACTGAAATTAAAAAAGCACAAAAAATACTTTCCAAACACATGACTAACAGTACTTACGCCATATCAACAATTCGTTCCTTTTCTTGAGGAGCAAGCGCCATAACTGGTAAAAAGGAACTTGCAGCTTGTTTCTGCGTACATAGTGAATATAAAAAAATCTAACAATAAAATATATAAACACAATCAATGGGCTTAGCAAGGAAAATAAAGGTCATAACATTCTTACCATGTAGTGCCCAGCCAAATACTCTGGTGTTGCGCCAATAGGCACTTGAGAATCATATACAACTAACCCCACCTGTCATATTCAATCACACATATATCTTAAAAATTTCAAAGACAAACTACAAGGAAAATGTTTAAGAAACAATAAACCAAAATTACCTTTGACCACTTGCCAATTGGGTCTAAATTCACACCCCTGTTAATTAGAACTCCAGCGAGATCACGTCTACGAGTCTATTGACCAAAAAGTTAGAAGCACGCAGGGTCCATGCACATAACAACCAAATATTCAAAAAAAGAAGAAACTTGTAGATATATAATCTGTTCACCAAGTAATAACCATGGTGGCATAGTACATCCTTAAGGGAAAAAAATGGATAAAATTCTAGTCACCTTTAGAGTATTTGTACGCAGACATTCAGGTCTACCCTTTTCAAAAGCCTCAAGTAGCTCAATGAGTTCAACAGCTGGGAATATCTGAAAAGACAAAATTAAGCCAGTATAAGAAACAAGAACTCAATGGTGCATAAGACCATTAAAAGAAATAGGGTAAGAAAAACAATCGCATTGCCTCAATAAAAGCCTCTATTAGAAATTCATTATAGCCATAATAAGACATTAAATCTGCCTTAAGCTGATTGACATAATCCTTCCTTGAAGCACCCTCCTGCCTCAGACTGTTGAAATTAGATAGCACACGAACAACTGTCAAGAGAAGCAAAGACAAGAACAATGTATCTTTAAGTACCATAGAAGTAATTAAAGAATGCAACCTTGAACGAATGACAAATATGAATGACTGCAATAGCTCAAGGACTAGGGAAACAAGACTACGCACTCTCATTGATCCGCCTACGAATGTTCTGCAAATTGGGCGGCTGACGAGCTTCATCTTCAAGTTCCTGTAACATTAGTCATGCTTCAGTAAAAGAGCAAGCTTTCCCAGAAAAACGAGCAGAAGATAGAAAGTTATTAAACGTAAAAAAGGAGCAAATTTTGGATAAAGCTGACCTCTTTGGTGGGCAATCTGAACTCATCCGACTCTTCCTTTATATTAAGCCTTAATTCCTCTTCCGCCTCCTCCTCCGCCCTGGACTTGGCTTCGTCTAAGGCTCTCGATTTTGCCTCCAGATCAGACTCATCTGAATCCGAGCCCGACCCCGGCTCTTCCGCTTCCTCTGAAACCCGAGCAGAAACATCAGAAAACCCAAAATATCAAGCCCAACGATCACCACGATAAGAAACCTAAAAGAAAGACAAATCGGCGGTGAAAAGCACCGTTATCGCTGCCGCCAAGGAAATCGTCTGTAAACGGTTCGCCATCCGAAGAGGCATCTGACGGAGACTCATCGTCTTCAACATCCGACGATTGGCTGCGGTCGTCCTCCTCCATCTCTTCCTCGGAGCCTGGGTCGAATTCGAGGGCATCGATATCCTTAGAAGCAAGCTCCTTCTCATCTCTTTGACTCTTCTTGTTCTTCTTCTTCTTCATGAGGTTAGGGCTGGCCGACTTGACGGCCTTCCGCTGCGCCCGAGAAGCCATAGGCAATCAAGGGAAGGGAAAAAGAGAGAGCGCCTGTTGAGTGATGAAACCCTAGGGTTTAAGAGCGACGGGTCCGGGTTCCTCCTTTCGCATTCGCAAGAGCGGACGACGTAAATATACTCGCGCCCATCAAACCCAGTCACGACGGCTGAGCCGAGGCTTTATTATGAGGGTCCCACAACGCCTCTAGGACGGATTCCAACGTGAGGGCTGGCGGAATACGGGTTCGGGTTCTTTCTCGCTACTCGCAAGAGCCGACGGCGTAAACATACTGGCGCCCCACCACCCGAAGTGACGTCGTGAGAGACACCGAGCGTCACATGTGGGACCCATTACCGCCTCTATACGGGTACATCGCATGGGTGGCGTCGGGTGGGGTCGGGTAGAAAAAGTGATTTTGCGAAACGATAGCCCAATGGGCCATTATATTATGACGGATAGGTTTGAGATGAGTATGAATACTTCGAATCAAGGTTGAGACAAAATTTGAATGCTTGGATAGTGATTCGATTAGAGAAGGGGACAAAGAATACATGATTTCTAGATTAAGAGAGGCTCATCGATGCATAATTATATCTCCTAACACTATTTTGGATTAAGATTACGGATGACCGATCAACATAATGATATATCGAAAGTTCGATTAGGTCATCCTAAAGTCCTATAGTCTTTTTTTTAGCAAAAGAAAATTTTAAGCGATAAATTAAACCAAAACATCATCGTTGGCATCAGAGCAAACCAAAAAGTCAAGATTGATCATGACTGTTTATGTCAGTGATTTCTGTTGAATTTAGCAAGAACTGCACACTCCTATCTATATCTTGAAAGACTGATATGAATTCTGCATATTGAGGAAGCAAAAAAGCAAATACGATAAATAGAAACATCTCCACAGTTGACTTTATAGTCGTACCAAAAAGAAAGGTTGAGCTCATCTTTGGCATCAAGAAAAGGAATACTGCAAGGCAAGCAGGTTTTGCAGTTAAACCACCTTGTCGATAAATTTACCTAGTAAGGCAAAGGTAAAGGCATTGCATTCTCAGAGCATGTCTCATGAGCAAGAAAGCCAGGATTAATAACCAGAAGCCATAGCTTGGAAAGGTATATTTACAAGTTAAAAGTAGATTATCCTCCGAGCCTCTTGTTACATATACACTTCCCTTTCACAAGTGAATATAGATACAAGGTGATATCTCCCTTCCACAACAGAAGAATAAAAAAGAGTTTTGGATATAGACACATCTGAAATAAAAGCCAAACCTGGAAGCAAGACACCGCAACCGCAGAGTGCAGAGAGGTCATTGCGTACCAACTGGTCCTTAGATGAGTCCAAAAACAAAGGAAGTGTTAGAAGGATTAGTGTAGATGAACATAAGTACCGGCTCTTAGATGGACTGATCAAACACTCTGGTTATCCAAAATTGTAGCACATATATGCACCAGCCACCATGCAGGGAAAAAATGGACAACATGTGCAAGATTAATGTGGCCATTTTACAATGGAAAATTTGTAGATGGAGTTACCTCTGAAGCTTACAAGAAGTAATTCCAATTCCAATTTATTCAGTTGCCAATCAAATTGCCTTTCTTATTTTCCTTTTCATTCCTTATAACGGGCGATGGGCAGCCAATCTCAATTTTTGGTTTCTCGAAAGCTTAATATCATAGTAGGCAAAATGCTGCTGTACTCAACAGCTTCTTGTTTCGGAAAGTGGATCATAGTCATAAGCTTCACCGGCCTTGACAAACCGCCCCTTCACCCTTCGTCTGACATCTGCTCTAGCTTTGCGCGAAGCATACCTGATTTTTTTCTCAAACCTGAAAGAGGAGAAACTGAGAATTTAGTCACATGCTCCCTGAATAATTACAAGTACTCTAAATCTAGATCTTTATGTACACAAAGTTCATATATAATTGGATACAACCACGAATCCAAGGTTATAGAATCCTGCAGAACAAGCAGCAGACAACAGCATGAATTTTACACAGCTAAGTGGACATAGGTGCTTTTGAGAGTATTTTTGGCACAAAGATGCATTTTCTTTTGGGCATCCAGAGACAAGTTGGAAGTGATAACTAGTTCAACTTGCGGAAAGGCCCTATTCTCACTAGCAGGATGAAGCAGACTGATAAAATTGTATCCTATGGTCTAATCCACGTAGACTTTCTCCACCACATCTTCAATATCTTGAAACTCAGAATTACTGGGGGTTATTAGACAATATATACATACAAATATCATATATATGATATATTTTTCTCACTAGTAGTTGCCCAAGATCAACACAAACTCATGCTGATTGATCTAGCATTTAAGCATTACCACCCTTTGTTGCATTTAAATGCACCATCCTAGAAAGGGAAATATATTTTAATTGCACAAAGAAGTTCCTCTATACGGTTCAATGACCAGGAATTCAAAAGTGTATATTTAGAGAAATGGTTGTGCCGGCTTTGGCACATAGCATCAGCAAACAATACAAATCCATGACAGATAGGCTGTTTCCGTGACTCGAACCTTGGTCTCCCAAGTTGCAAAGGAGCAACCTCACCGACCAGCATGGTAATCCAATAATAGGTGTTTAATTAACATATAAAGGCATATAAATTCTTTGGAAGTCTGCTTTGAGACTCATGATCTGAACTTACTTGCGAGTTTTCTTCTTTTCCTTGTAACGGATGAGAGCACTTTCCCTGTTAGATGTAGGCAATGAAGAGCTTCCTGGACCAGCATGGTAACAAGAAGGCTCACCTGTTAGAAGCATTCCCGACATTCCACAATCTTGATATTCTCCTGCACTGCTTTCACCAGTCACACCAGAAAAGGAAAATGATAGAGTGGACTGAACCTGGCATCCTGGTAAAGCCAGGCTAGAATCTGCATTTCCTTCTGGATTTGACATTGCAGGATCAGCAGATACTGCATTACCGCATGTTGCTTGCATTTGTTTAACCTGCCCATCAGATGATTCTTGAGAATGATATTCAGGACAGCACTAATAATTCTTAGTTCAAATGAATTGAATAAGTTCATGCAGAAATGACAGATAAAAGCAAGTATCACACTTGATAAGTTTTTAGTCAAGTAGCACATTCTTGCATTTGGATGAGTTTTGCAGGATAGCAGAGGGTGGGCAATTAAGAACCACTTGCATCATTGAATTTTCTTTTTCTTCTTTTTCAGCTGCTGGCAGCAATTGGTCAGTCAAGACTGGTTGAAATTGGCTAATTCCAGCTGATTCTGATCAAGTTCCAGGCTCTTCAGCCATCTATATTATGATTCAGCCAAGAATCAGATGTTCTCTGCCAGGTTCTAATCCTCGCTGACCAATCCGGTTGGGATCATACAATTAGGCAAACCATGACTTTAATATTAGGAAAAGAAGTTTGTCATCATGATCAAAAAGATAAATACTAACTCGAGTTAAATCAAGATGAACTTACTGTTCTAAGAGTACCAGGGTAGGTAGAATATGTCCATACAAACTGAAACCTATATGTCAGAGATTTAATTCAATAAATATTTATCTGGTTTGTAATTATTCCACCATGACATTTATCCCTACCCCAGATACCAGTTCCATCAAAGCTCAAAATTCCTTTCATGAGTTAAGCATTCAAAAGCTAATGAGAACTTATATTTGAAATAGGACCAAACCTAATAGTTGTATTCTACTAGACAAGAAACTAAGCATTGGTCCCCAGTGCATGGCAACAAGCTAAACATTACATAGGCAATTCGTAAATCTAACATGCTGGAGCATATGAATGACACAATTTCATCCAATAACTAAGAATTCAAGTTATGATTTTTCACTCTGCAATGTGCTACAACAGCGGAAAAAGCTACATGATATACCTCTTCAGTAGATTCACCATGGCATATGGAATTAGTAGCAGAGTTTTCCTTCATGTCAAAAAAACTATCAATTCCAGCATCATCAAAAAGATCCCCTGTTAGGTTGTGTGATGCACCAAAGAGTTCTTCGTAATTCTCGAATGTCATGTCTGCATCGCCCATTGTGAAACCTTCATAGAAATCATCTTTACAGAAATCAACATCATCTGTCCTGGGACAACTTGTCTGGACACAGTCAAACAATTTAAAGTGATTAGCAGTCTGCATTAGTAAAAAGTTCTTTTAGGTATGCTCGATGACAATTCAAAAGAGCAATCATTGTCTTGAAGTTCACAGAGACTGTTGATAACTGCACTGGTTTTTTCATAATTTAAAGCTATATAAATTTCTTGGCGAGAATGTGTATTGTGTCACAAAATAAAACATAAGATGACGGCCATGTATTCAAATAAAAGGTCCTGTAATAACCATCTAGAAGATTAACAATATGCCAGACCTCAATAACATCATTGTAGCATTCATTATAAAGCAGCACAGAGACTATCTCATATAACTCCTCCATAGTGTTCAGAGAAAGGGCACACAACTTCTATATATTTATCACAAAAAATCATTAATCATGGTTTTCCCAAAAAGAATAAACTTGACTCTCAAATTGTGGCGAGAAGTTCCATTAGAAAGCATAGGAGTTTGCATTCCACAAAAAAGTGCAATAAATTTGCATCTCAATAAATTCAAATTTTGAAGCTACTAATATGTACTAAAAAAATCTGATGTACCTTGGGTGTAGTTGAATCCATTGAACCAGCTGGTCGATCAGCACTACATGACATAGCATTTAATCCAGATGCTGAAGATGACTCCACCCAGGGATTGGCCTTATCAACTGCTTTTATATCATTCATCTTTCCAGTGCTGCCGATATTGGCAGTACTGCTGTCCTCTGGAGGTCCCCAACAATTGGTAACACTGTTCTCATTGATAGTCATCAATCCTTTCTCAAAATCAGGTTCTTCCATATCAGGAAATTCAAAGAAGGACCAGATTCTAGAAAATTCTGCTGCTGATGGGCACCCTGAGTAGCAGTTGATAGTCTGCCTCTTGTGTTCTGAAGTCAATGCCAACCCACCATGACCATTCCAATCACAGTTTTGGCAAAGCGAAGCATTTTCTTCTATGCACCTTACTATAGCAGGTTGGGTAGTGCATCTGTCACATAAAAGTGTACGCGAGTGCCGCCGAGAAAGTGCATTTGCAGAATGAATATTACGGTCACATGACAAGCATAAGGAAGCAGCATCAGACCTGCAGTAGACCACAGATCTTTGCTCCGTGCAGAAATCACAAAGACGGCCCATGCTAGTTCAATGGACAAAAGATAGCTGAACAAATCAACACAGTGAGCCTCTAGAACAGTTCCTGTAATATACAAGACAAGCTCCTCCTTCTCCAAGAGACTTCATAAGTGCAAAAGCCACTAACGTCCACATGCCAAAGAAAAGGAATAATAATCAAAGATTACAATGACATGCCTATAAAGTAAAGAATATAATGGGCTTTAATAAACTAAATCGTTCTATATAAAACAATTGCCTAAATCATGAAAACGTAAATTCACGATGCACCAGGGAAGTTCTATAAGCATTTAAAGAGTAACACGACCGCAATGACTAACATGAGTACAACTCTAGCCATCACCTAGGTAGGCTGGAGGTTGAGCATCTGGAAGGCTTCCGTTTGGTTAGAGTTTCTAACATTAGGTTTAATGCCTAATTCATCCGAATCTTCAAAGCAAATATAAACAGATATATACAGCTCTTCAATTTTACAATTAATTAGTTATTGTCTGTCATCTAGACATTTTCCAATAATCGGACGTGAGCATCCAACAGACTATTTCATGGCCCAGAAGTTTCCATGGCATAAATTTTCCTTCAACTGAGTCCTAAACAGAGGAAAATGTCTAAAATGAAAATAGAAGTTTAAGTCAAATCAAGTTAAGGAGAAATTTCATATTCTATAAGTCGTTAATACCATCTCCAGTATCTTAATGGACTTAGATAACCTCTCTTACCTAAAATAGCAACCTTTTCTTGGATCATTCTCTGCCAATAATTTTCGTAGAAAGGAGTAGCTATATCCACATACTATTAACAAACTGATCTAAAGTGTATATACTGTTCTGTCACGTTTATATAAAATCCAAACATTTTACGGCAAGAAGAAGTATCAAATCTCATGATGAACTTCAAAAAAAATGAAAAAGAAGAAGCAATACTCTAATTTGAACCCCCAATTAAAAAGAAAAAAAGATTTTCTGCAACAATCAAACTGTATCGAGATTCAAAACCAAAGAAAGATAGAGAAAACATATCTGTTCCCTTTCAAGATCAAATCTTTGCTAAAACGCCTCAGTATAAAATAATAACCCGAGACATCACTAACTCTATGCAGCTACAGCGGCTAAAATCAAATCCAACGTCAAAAGAAGATATGTAAATCTATAATCAATCATTACCGATCCCGAACGGCCTTCGCGAACCGCAAGCTCCCTTCCTCCGTGGCAAGAACCAGAGAAACCCTAGCGTAGGATGAGCGATTTGAGGAGACCCGATTCCTTTTGGGGGGAGTAATTTAGATAGAGATGAGCAGATGAGACGAGCCTGTGGGACTAAAAACAAGCGGAGGCCTAATGGGGCGCCCGCTGGGACCCTTGAAAAGTGCAACGCCGTTGCACTTTTCGGTGGCATTGATGTAATAACATTATTCGTTTATAGCCTAACAGTAACTTTTCGTCCACGTACGTTCGACACGAAGCCACGACTAGCTGTATACCGGAACCGTTGTCGAAGGTTGATTACCGTAATACCCTCACAGGTTTCCGAAACTATCCGAACTGCCCCTGACTCTCAAAACTGACACTGCGGGCCCACTCGTCGATGATGATCCAATCAACGAGCAGCAGTCGCTGTGACGGCGGGTACCGCTCTCTGTAGGGCGATGCCTGTGACTTTGGTCGCTCATTCCTTGAGATTGTCGAAGCCAAACATGGCCGGCCGGGATCGATCTACTCGGGAGCCGCGATGGAATCGTCAACGCGTGGAACACGCGCCGAGCGATGTCAACCGTCGGATGATCTGCCTACGGCGGTGATTTCGACATCGGAAACGCGTGCCGCGTTGCCCTATCTGGAAGAAGGGACGGAGCACGCCGATGCTTCGAGCTTTCATAAGCTTGCACACACCGGGCGCCGAGAGCCGATCACGGCGGTCAGATAAAGATCCGACGGCTCCGAGGAAAAGACCGGCGTGCGAAAGGGGCGAGACAGTACTTTCGCCGCGCCGTCCTGTCGTAGGTATCGCACGAAGCGCTGCCGACACGTGACGGGGAAGACGGTGGGACCCGCGCGATTGGAAGCATGAGCTGGCAGTGTTATCCGTAAAGCATCGAAAAATGCGCTTCACTGGACACGTGTCAGCAGGACAGTAGCTGCTATGGTGCGGACCAATCGGACAAGCGCGGTGGCCAACGATTGGACGGCACGTGTGGTTGAGAACCAGCTTCGCGGAGATCCACGCAACTTTTGATGGGTGACCGAACCCACAAAGTTAGATGCTTTGGATTCTTGGGAATAAGATTTATGCTCGGGGAATAATACATGCTTTACGATGCATTTGTGACTGCGAATTACATAGTTTCATGTTCATTGCAAGTCAACTATTGATTGATATTGAATCGGATCAAAGCATGCAGGAATATATCTCCTAGCTGGGGGAGGAAGAGGATTCTTTCAGGGTAATCCTCGTCTGCAACTGGTGATGACGACGCCGATAAATATGGATCAATACACGAACGATAAGATACAGATTTCAAGGAGAAGACAGTAGAAGTTTACCCTTACAGTCGATGCCTTAAAGAAGCTTGACACTGAGCTGGTATTTCCATCAGTGCTTCCAATGCAAAGCACGCCTCCTTCTTGCTCATCGTGATGTTGTTCGACATCATCTCTGTGAAGTCTACAAACTCTGCAAGCAGAGGAAACAAAGAGTGGAGTTCACCAAGGAGGTTCTGCTCGAAGCAATTCACTGTCATGTATACAACCTGGAATGTTCTTGAGGGTATATGATCATCGAATTCTTTCATTAGTTCCCATGGTTTATCCCCAACTCCAGCCAAAATTATCGATAATGGATACTTGCTTTATTGATGAATTCGATCAGCAGTGATCTGCAAAGTAGCAGAGAGACAATCTTGATCATGGTATTTGAGAAATGCTCAGCTAGCTTCAACCATGGTTGCAATGGTATCTTCCTCTTGTGGACTATAGTGACCGATCTCGACATCGATGCTTCGACTCACCTAAACATACAAGCGGCGAGATTTTTCATCAGAGAGTTTATATACATGTAGTTGGATTGGTAGGAAGACAAACCTGTCCATCCGCTATGATGAGAAGTACATGGTACTTACCACCACTCTCATCAACAATGCTCATAACAGTCTCAATTATAGGAGCAGATGATGTTGGCCCTGCTCCAACCACAGGAGATGGCGTGCACTCAAATCGCAATGATCATAAGTTTACCAAGTTGCAGAAGAGAGGACATTTCATGCCAACCTGCAAGTTTGATTCCAGGAACTAATTCTCTGTAGCGCTGCTGTGCTTCCCTGAATCCATCGTGTTGCCATGATAGAAGCCGAACACCTCTTTGTCAAGAGTTGTAATCCATTACATGAGAGGATTACATAACTACATGACCAGCGGAGCTTTAGATTGAGGAGTATCTTCTATGAACATACTGACCATCACCAAAGTCAAAGCATGGTATAAGACTGCAATCATCAAAATCTGAAGGAGTTCTGCCTATAATAGATATTGCCTGCTCATAGGGGTTTGGCACACTTCTTATGTCATGCAAGCTTCTCCTGCCAGAAGATGATTTACCTGGAATAAAAGGTATCAGCATAGCTTGCTCAAAGAAAAGAATGAGAGACTTAGAAGTGTTAGCATACCTTCAGGATTAAGAAAATTTTATTTGTTAAATGAACTCAGATATTGTAATTTCTTCACAAACATATTGCACTTCTTACACCTTCAAAAGAGTTCATCATTCTTGATTTGTACTGGTCTTACTCTTTACTAAATGGAAACAGTGTGGAAGCTTGACCTTCCATTCTACAAACATCATGGCTTTGTGCCACAAAATTTTTTCCCACATAACCTCCTTTTTCAATCTATATATTGACTAAAACATAGATACTTCACCTATTTTGCATCTGATATCATTTTGTGACAATTAACCTATTTTGTTGTTCTACCTAACTTTATGGGATGTATTTGCAGAGGAGACAACCTTTCATGAATTAGGCTCAAACAAGTTATGTTTGTGCTAATATCTTTAACTTTAAACTGGGTTTAGTACTCAATTGAGACTCATAAACAACAAAGCATGTAACAATAACCTGTCCACTCATTGCTCTTTGTGAAGTAAATGCCAACTATGAGATCTGAAGATTCAAGGCCAGCTGATCTTAAAGCTTTTGTCACCTAAATGCCAAAGGATAAAGTCTCAGTAAGCTATGCCAGTTGTTGACAGTGTACAAATACATCACACTTCTACAGAAGAAGTGCTTCAGCTTTGTGTAAGTTTTCAGAGATTGTTATCTGAATCTGAAATTTAGTCAATCCATTTATCAGATATTTGTGAATAGTTTTCTTTTATTCCATCTCAAGTTCTTGTTTCTCAGGAATGCACTTCAGTTAAATCAATATTGCTCCAGTTAAGTAACTCAATTATGTAAATATACTTTGATTATTATGGTGTCTGTTCCAGTGAGTTGCATTCAACATCCATTGCATTTACTGCTTTTAATCCACATGCTCTATCATGGCTTTGATGCCTCCATGACCTTGTTGATTAGCTTCCTCCCATTCTAAACTCTGTTTTCAAGCAACAAAAAGAATGATTTAGGATAATACATATAAATCATGGATTAATATGAGATGAGAAAGCTTAAAAAGCCACTCTCTCCCGAAAAAGTTACCAATTTTCCCCGGCTATAGATTCATAATATCATTAGATCATGTTATGTCCAAACATAAAAGAAGGTAAGATTTGTTTAAATTATGTTGCAGTAGTGAATTGCTATAAAAAATATATATTTTCAAGAAAAAGCTATTAGAAAAATGAGGGTTAGTACATTATTATAGTTTTAAGTTTGCACTGAAGAAATCTAGTGAAGTGTTTGTGGAGGTGAATTAAACATTTTTCCAATTAAAAAGTTATTTAGGACAAAAAAAAACATCAGCTGAACAATATCTATCTTATCATTAATAATGGTCGTAATATACAAAAAATATAATAAACCAAATACAGAAAATTATCAGGAAAGCTTCAACTAGTTTCTGAAACTGTCTGACATGCTCCCAAGACTTTATGAAGTACTTTCTTTGGAAGATCACTATAAATTAAAAAAAATTATAATAAAATAAAATGAAAGTGCTGTAAACTTGATTGACTGAAGCTCCCAAGTCCCAAATGATTGGAAAGTAATAGAGGGGTGATAAAAAATGGGGGGTAAAGCAGAATAAATTTTGATAGAAAAATCAATAATACTGGAATAAGTTTTTTAGATAAAAAAAGGAACCAACTCACGATAATACTTCAATAAGATCAAAAAATAATTCACCACCAAATTTAAAATCACAAAGCGATATAAAAAGTTCACCACTCTAAGGAAATTAAACAAGAATACAGAACTGAAAAATAAAAGACTCACCATTCAAGGTAGTATCCAAGAGATACAAAGTTAAAAAAAGAACTGCAAGAGAGATTCTATTAATATGATATATTTCTAAAACCCTTTTCTAACTCCTAAATATCAAAATAAGTATTAGTGCATGAAAACTACCTTTTAGAAAATTTTACATTTTAGGAAATTTTAAAATTAAATGTTTTGCAACTAGTAATCATTTTTTTAATATATTCTTTGGTCATGAAAAAAAATATCTTGAGGAAGCTGAATCATAAGAAGTATATGGGATTTACACGAGCATAAATGATCATGAGGAAGAACAGCTGAAACTTGTCTATCAAGCAGTAATGATCATGAGAAATCAAAGCCTCAACAGGATGGCTGGACTTGTATAGGTTTGCTGCATAAGCCATGAAACAAGGATGCAAGAAGCAGCATTGACATGGGATGGAGAGCGAATGCAAGGAAAAGTTGCAGAACACATGCTGCATGCACATAGGAATCTTCTTTTGATTGATCCATAAGTTGCCAGTGAAGCTCCATGGAATTTTCCAATCACCAGTTCCATGTTTATTTAAGTTAATATTATGATGCAGACAAAAATTAAATTTGGTCATGTAATCTTATATCAAGTCACCCCCCAAGAAATCAAAGAGAGCTCAGTGATATTGCTTGCACTTTGTTCTAATGTTTTCTCATATAGAGATCATTATGGGGTTCTGATCATAGTTTTTTCTTCTTTTGTCTTTGGAAAGGATTTAACCGGAAGAAAGCATGAAGTTTCCTATATATGTATGTTCTTTAATTCGTCGCTCAGTGTTGCCTCTTCCCCTTCTCAATCATGATCTATGTCGTTGACTTGATAGAAGACCTACATGAAGTAAATGGATGGAAGCAGAGAAG